CTGCTTTGCTAAAAACTGCCTTCCTGATTCCCTCACTAATGCATTTGGAAAATACACTCATTTATGATTTATGGAAAAGTTTGTGTAAGCTTTTCCATGGTGTTTGACTACGTTACTCATAGTAACTTGAATCTCTGTTTCTAGGCTTGGTCACTCATAATTGGCTCAGTATAAACTATCTTTAATTTCCTTTGGAACAAAAGCAGATATTTAGATAGATAAATAAATAGAATTTTTACATGTGTCTATTTTATGTAATTAATGAGATCATTTGGGTAAACACATTTGGATTTCTGAATATTGATTTTTAAGTGTAAATAAGTGATGGGCACAGTTAAAAATTATATAGTAATTTGTTTAAATCAGAAATGGAAGTGAAACTAAAGATAAATAAATTTTCAAAGTCAATGACATGGAAGTGTCACTAGTAGTTGAAGCCTGAAAGAGATAAGACTGCTTCATTAGCAAATAAGACTAAGAAGGAAGGCCAAAGAAGGGAAGCATGTTCTAGCAAGTATCTAACATTCTAAAAGTGCATGAGAATTTTAAACAGTAAGGCTTCATTCAATTAATACAGTAGTTACAGTCTAATAAAAATGATACTCTGGGAAGTGTTTATTTGAAGAATATTTATTATCCAATAAATATTCATTTATTCACTTGAGTTTATTAAAAAGCTATTTATTAAAAAATGGTTTACTCTACACCAGTGACTGACAAGAAAGATCTCCATTCTTGAGTTTACTGTCTCAAAGGAGAAGACAGTCAATAAACAAAAGAAGTGGATAAAATTTAGAGTGTAATGTAAAGAGACGCTAGATCACTATGGAAGAAAGAAAGCCAAGAACAGGGCAGAGCAGAAGGGAGTTTCAGCTGTAGGTCATCTTTCCATAGAATTTCTTACTGACAAGGTACAAAGAGTAAATACTTGAAGGTTGGAGTGTTATGTCTTGTATCTAGAGGTCCCCTCAAAGTCTAATGTGCTCACATAGGTGGGAATTTTTAATTTATTTGGTACTGGGGATCAAACTCATGACCTCACGCTTGTCAGTCAGGCACTTATATCACTAAGCCAAATCCCGGGCCAAGGTGGAAATTTTGGAAGTGACTGGAACATTGATGGGTGATACTGGATCTGGATCGTGTGGTACTAGATTAGTTCACTAGTGCCGGTGGGTGGTGGATTTACTGGAGAAGACCCACACTGCATCTGGGTGGTACCAACCAACAAGCTTATGGACTGGATGAAATAAAAGAGAAGGCAGAAGGAAGGCTGCTGCTTCCTGCTTGCCACGACATGGAGTGTTTCTCCTCTGCCATGCCACTCTGCTATGCCACCTTGCTTTGGAGGCAGCCAACTATGGACTGAAACCTCTACAAACTATGAACCAAAATAAACGTTTCCTCCTTTAACCGTATCAGATATTTTGTCCCAGCAACAAGTAAGTAACTAACATAGGTAGCAAGACATATGGTACTTAGAGGAGAATGTTGCAAATAGAAAAAATAGGAATTTAAAAGCCCTACGTAGACTCTGCACTGGTAGTGTTTAAGGAACAGGAGAAAGGGTACTGCGGCTGCCGTAACAAAGAGCTTGATTAAGAGAAGGAAGTGATGGCAGCAATCAGAATGGATAAGGGATTATGGGCCATTGTAAAGACTTTGGCCCTTACTCTGAACAAGAAAGCAGCTTTGGAGAACTAAGCAAGAATGACATCTAATTTGGGCTTTCACAGGCTCACTCAGTTATGGAAGCAGGCAGACTGCAAAGAGACTGTTGCAATGATGGAGAACCTTGATGCTAGGCAAGAGATGAGAGTGGCACATCAGAGAAGAGGAGATAGAAGTTTTAAAGAGTAATTACATTCTTCATCCATATTGATGGGAGAGCCAGCTATTGATGGGAGAGTCAGCCATTGCTGACAAACTGGATGTGAAGTGTGAGAGGAAGCAAAGATAACTGCTTGCAAAACTTGCGGAACATAGTTGACATCTCCAAAACTGGGGAGGATAGTAATGCAGCAAAACTGGGAACAACCAACATGGCCAGTGTTTTGGGCTGATTCTGGTCATTGTCTACAGCTTTCCTCACAGATATTTTGGGTTCCAGGTACCTCTAAGTTCCTGGGATCTGCACTACAGCTGTGAATTCACTCTCACATGTCACTCATCTGCTCTCAAGGACTGCCAACAAGAACTTGAAAGCATCAGTACACTGTCTGATCTCTGAGGCCTTCCTTTCAAATCTCAGTTGAAGCTACTGTGACTTCACAACTCTGTTCAGCCACAACTTCCTTAGTCCCAACTTTAGGCTTTATTTCTGCCCAAATTGCATACTCATTGCTTTCAGTTATCACCATAAATCTGACCAAAAACATCCAGCAGTATCCATGCCCTAGCTTTAATCAACTATGCAACGTTGAAATTTCCTCCAGCAGATTAACTAGTCCACTATCTTTAAACTCAGTCTTAACAAAGTCTCAGGGCATGGAGAACATATAGACAAGTTCTTTGCCAGACTGTAACATGGATGGCCTGTAGTCCAATTCCCAACAGAGTCCTCAATTCCATTTGAGACCTCACGAGAACCGTCTTTACTGTCTGCATTCTCCTCATCATTCTGGTCTTCTGAGCTCACATGAGAATTACCGTTAATCTCCTTTTTGTAGTATTCTAAGCATTCTTTAGCCAGCTTCTTCAATCACTGCCAAATTTTGTGAATGCCAGTTCCAACAGCTGCTGAACCACATCAGTCATAGAAACGGGGCTTACTCTTGGTACCAATTTTCTGTGTTAGTGTGCTGGCTAATCCTAACTATCAAACTGACTAGATCATACCTCTTGGAGAGGTGATTGGATCATGTAGGGACTATCCCACTGATAAATCTGGGCTACCAGGGGGTGGGCCCTATTCCGAGAAAGTGGTTGTGAGGGCATGACTGGAAACTATACTGGTCTCTGGCTCCTTCCTTTCTGGCTCTTTCCAAACTGTTCCACTCCTTGGTTTATTCCAGCAATGAAAAAGTTGGCCAACCTAATCAGATTTCCATCTCTGTGACAAAATATCTGTGAAAAACATTTTAAAGGAAGAAAAGTTTACTTTGGATCAAAATTTCAGATGTTTTAACCCAGGGCTGATGGACTCCACTGTTTTTGGGCCTGTAGTGAATCAGAACATCACAGCAGGAGGGCATAGAAAGGAAGGCCACTCACCTCATGACATTTAGGAAGGAGAAGCAAAGAGACAGAGACAGAAACAGGGTATCAGTCAGTGTTTTACTAGAGAAATAGATATAACACAAGTCATACAAACGTGTAAGAAACTGAGAGAATGGCTCATGGTGGTCAGATAGGGAGAGTCAGAGAGGCAGGCACTAGAGATACACTTTATCCAATTAGATTCTATCTCCTAATAAGCCCACTGAACTATGAACTAATCAATGGAACAATTTATCAAACAGGATTAATTAGAGCTCTCATGATCCATTCATTCCTAAAATCCCATCAACTGACAAGAGAGGTTTTAACATAGCATTTGGGGGACATTTTAAATCCACACATAACACTACAACACTGCTATTAACAAAGATGAAAACACTAATAAAGGGGAAGTTCCAGAAGTTGAAACATGAAGAGCTCCGTTGGGGATATATATGACTTCAGGGATCTCTGTGAAATGTGTTAGTGAGATGACTCAGAGGTCTCTCTTGAAAATGTCAATTTGACAGTTTACAATCTCAGTGGTAGCAGAATCTGCATGATTGAGATGAATCGGACAAGGGGATCACAGAGTGAAAATAAAGCTTGAGAAACAGTGTCAAGGAAAAAGTAGCTCAAGGTACTGTGAACACACAGCTTAGTTGGTAACATTAGGAGTGGGAAACCCAGCTGTGTGGCAATTGCTGGTGAGGGCAGGACACAGCCAATGTATGTGTCGCATCTCAGACTACTTGTTAATAGAAAAAATTTCCTACCCAAGGGTTCCTATTTAGACAATAAGTTACCTAGTTCAAGTGGAGGTTTCTGTTGGTAATAAAAATATAATTTAGTACAAAATTATCAATTCTAGTAATATGTTAACAATTTCTAAAAAAAATGCAAATGCAATGTGTCCAGATATGGTTATCACATTTAAGGCTTTCAAGTCTTTTTTCTTTTTTTATTACATATATGCAATTTTTAGTTATATTATTATAACTTCAGGGTTATTAACCTTCCTTTGGAAGTGATGTAAAATAAGAAGAAATAAAAATATAATCATTGTGGGTGCATACATTTATTGTTTTTGTCTGAAACAGTGATGCTAGTGATAAACCCTCAGTGGGTAATGAATCCATGTTTCTCTGGATTTCTAAGACACAAGGTGGTTTGTGACTGGCATCTTTAAGGACTTAAAGTCAGAAAGATACCCAATTAGTTACCTAGAACAAAAGGATAACCCAAGAAGGAGATTACATTGTCTTTATTAGTTCTATTTTATTCTTTCAATAGAATATTTAATTTGCTTCTTACAATAGGATTACACAACCGCATATTATGTCCGGTAACACAATGGTCCCCCAACTGTAAGAGAATCATAAAGCTAAGAAAAAGCCCATTTACTCTTCTTGCTATTAACATATTAGCATCAAGTCTGGATCCTGAAACTATAGGAAAATTAGAATTTCTCATTCTGCAACCAAGTCACTTAAATCTACAGGACCTAATGGGTTACTTTCCAAATATATTAAAGCAGGAGCATGGTAGACGAGCGCCAAGATCCGTCCCAAGAACCGGAAAGTTCCTCGTGTTTGTTTTTAGCTCTACATCCTTTTATATTCTCGTGCACCCTCCAGCCTCGGGCGCAGGCCACCCTGGGGAACAAGTCTGAGACCTGGAGCCGATCACTGCCTCGCAGGCCACAGTTTGTAGGTCCCGCCCCGCCCCGCCGCGCCCCGCCCCAACTGCTGCTTTCCGCCCGGGGCTCCAATTTCGCTTCCACTGTGAGCGGGGCGGGGAGGGGGCGGGGACTCGGTCACGTGACGGCAGACGCCGCCCCGCCCACCTGCTTCCTGGCCCGCTCGGCCCGGCCCTGCCGTCCCGCTCCGCACGTGGTGTCCCCGCAGCCGCGCGCTCGCCCGCACCCGCACCCGCAGCCATGGCGCCCGGCCAGCTCGGTGAGGCCCTCGCGGAGCCGCGCGCTCGCCCACCCTGCGACCCCGGTCTGCCCGGCCGGCCTGTGGCGCGGAGCCGGGCGGCCTGCTCCGAAGCCGGGGCCTGCACCACCCTCGCTCCCGCGGCGGCCCCGGCCGGAGTGACGAGCGCGCGTGTCTTGTGTTTCAGCCCTCTTTAGTGTCTCCGACAAAACTGGCCTCGTGGAATTTGCCAGAAACTTAACAGCTCTGGGTTTGGGTCTGGTTGCTTCCGGAGGAACTGCGAAAGCGCTCCGAGATGCCGGCCTGACCGTCAGGTAAGCTTAGCTTTTAGGGTTAGTCCAGACGGAAAGGGGTCACGTTAGACCGGAAATCGGTGGCATCCAAGTGACACCTCTGCCGTGCACCCCTCCCTGGCCGCTGTGAGGGTGGCAGACAACCCCGTTCCCGCCTTTGAGGAGCAGGCAAGTGAGGCGCAAAGAGTTTTAGCAGCTTCTGTAGAAGTTCGCAGCAGTGAGCGTGTGCGGTGCGCAGTTTAGAACCCGCGTTTTCAGCCACTTCCTCTGCACGGTAGGTCACGTGGGCCGCCTGTTCCAAACAACAAACGCAGAAGTTACCAGTCACATTTGCTTTCCGTGTTCAAGAAAACGGTTTACACCGGGAAGACTTACACTGGCCCATCCCCTTAGCACCCCCATCACCACGCGACGATTCCAGTTACTGATTCTCTGGGCACAAGTCTGTTCATTACCCAATGGGGGCTTGGAAGGGATGTACCCAAGACCGTTCCTGACCTCAGGGCTTTCTGGGTGTGGAGGAGGGAGTAACTACTGAGAGACACACAATGGAAAAGGCTGCAGCACGGCTCTGATAAAGTGCGGTGAGCCGTCAGAGAAGGGGCAGATCCACCTGAGATATATCTTAGAAGAGAGATGAGAGTGTTCACTGCCTAGTTCTTGCCGTCCAGATCCACAGAAAGGCGATTATCCGCCTTTTCTCCCTAGGCTTCTGCTCTCTGGGAGCAGTACCTGGCTTCCCTAGATTTGACTTGTTCAGACGACGAGAATGCCTTAGTTCAGGTGGCGCTTTTTATTTTCCAAGTTCCTTTCGCATCTTGTCAGGGAAATGAGACATGGTTCTTCTGGAAACCCTGTGGGAGTCCCGAGAAAGCTGGTCCAGCTCTTCCAGTGGGAACAGGATGAAAATCCAGCGCAGAACCAGGTTCTTTCCCGGAGGCTCAGGTGGAGTCTACTGTTGTAGTTGGAACTTTGCTCAAATGAAGCAAATTCCTCATCTGTGGCCTCTTACTCTTTTTTCCCATCACAATTTGTGTTATGGAACAGACATCTTTAAAACCAGAACAAGCCCTTAAATTATGTATCGTCCAGTTTAAAAACCCAGCCTCTGCCCACTCCTCACTTATCTCCATTATTTGGAATATTTCTTAAAAATTGGGAATGTTGTTTCTTTCCTTAAATGGGGAAGGTGTTTACTATGACTGATTTGTTTAGATCTTAGAACAGTAAAGGTCACTGAAGTATAAAGTTGGAAGAGTGTTTTGTATATATTAATCATAAGTCCTCGCAATTTTTATAATAGATAGTATTGTCCCCTTTTGTAGGGGACTAAGCACAAAGAAGTTAGTAGGGGCTGTTGTGGTCAGTGTTTTGACTACTTGCCTGTCCTGTACAAAGCTGTAGGTTTGATCCCCAGCACCACAAAAATGAAAAAAAGAAGTGAAGTCACTTGCCTAAGTCACCTGCATATCCCATGAAGTTAACCATTGCATTGTCATGTGGTAAACTGACAGGTTTAACCCGTAAGTATATACCAGTGATCATACAGGGAAGTAATCCTGAAGATTAGCTGTTATATGCAAATTTTTAAGTACAAAGGAATAACAAGCTTTTAAATTACCCCTATCATTTAATTAAGAATAAATCTGCCATAAGCACTGCCTGGCAAAGTGCAGGATCCTGAGTTCAATTCCCAGTACCAAAAATAAACAAACAAACAAACCTGTGCCATCTGAGGTTTTAAGTAGTTCTCTTTGAAGGAACTAGATTTTCATTCTTGAGTGCCTCTGAAAGGAAACTTGCATTGGACCCCATGTGTCACCAGTTTGATGGATGAGCATTAGAACTGTGTGTGAGGATAGCTAAATGTAACTCATCTGCAAGTAGCCCTACTTTGTAGGTGAGTTAACCCAGGAAATTCTGTGTCCTCTTAGCCATATTCGCTGTTTTAAAACGTTTGATTTTAGCTGGGCGTAGTGGTGCGCAGCTGTAATTCCACCACTCAGCAAGCCAAGGTGGGAGAGTAACGCTGCGAATTTGACACCAGCCTGGGCTGCAAAGAGAGCTCAAGGCCTGGGCTACAAAGTGAGCTGAAATGTATGATGAGACCCTGTCTCAAAATTGACAACAACAAAAAAGTTTAATTTTTTCCAGTAAAAGCTATTGTGGTAATGGTAAAAAATTGGAAAATGTGGAAAACTAGCGTATTAATTAATGTATTTCTGGTGTTTTTATAGGCATGCACATTACTTCAGAGCCCACTTAGAAAATGAGTAGAATTGTGTCCTGCTTTTTTTGTTTTTCTTTGCTAATGTAATATGAGTATTGTTCCATAACAGATTCTGTCAGAGGATATTCCTGAGTGTAATTTTCCTGATGCCAGTCTGATGAAAAGGATTGATATTTAACTGTTGTTTTTCACTTGGTCCTTATCCCAATTTTGTGATGCTCACTCCATTTTTTCTTATTTCTGGTTAATGCTATGAATCTTTTGTTTAGTGTTCCTCACATACCTGATTTTGGTACTTAATAGTTTTTGGAAATGCTTAAATCTTTGCCTCATCAGGAACTTATTTTTACGTGGAATTAACCACGTCTTAATACAAATACCATTTTACTAAGCAGTCTTCTTTTCTCACTAATTTGATTTGCCATTTTATGCTTTTTAATCATAAAATTCTGAGTTCTACTTTGGCCAGTTTCTGATATCAAGATATTTCTAATGTTTTTTGGTATGTACTGCCAAATAACTTCTCATTTGGCTTTACTTATTCAGTATGGTGTATGTTTCAATTTCTGAATTCCTTGACAGTTTAAAACTAATGCTTTAATACTTACCAGTTCACGCTGTCACACATCAGTTAGAAGATGCAATAAACATGATGCTAATGCCAGCACTCAGGAGACTGAAGTAGGAGAGTCAAGGGTGTGTGGCAACCCAGACTGCATAGGGAGACTCTTGAGGGAGGAAAGGAAAGAAGGCTATTACTGTTAAAAAGTCAATAAAATTTTACTTATATAAGAAATCAAATGCAGTGAAAAACTTTAAGCTAGAATTTTTTTGTTTAGTTTCTGTAAAAAAGTCTTGGATGAAAACAGTAGGGCTTGGGTGAAGATACTTTGAATGATTTAAAAGGACAGTCTGGAAACAGTGGTAATATTCTGTTCATTTGCAGAGATGTCTCTGAGCTAACGGGATTTCCTGAAATGTTAGGGGGTCGTGTGAAAACGTTACATCCCGCAGTCCACGCTGGTAAGTTGTTGATACCTTCCATTTAAAGCAGTCGGTGGTTTTTAGGAATATTTTAGTCAACTTTATAAAAAAGGAAGAGAAGTCATCAGCTCAAAAAAGTTTATTTCGCCTGGCATGGTGGTGCATGCTTGTAATCCCAGCACTCAGAAGGCTGAGGCAGGAGGATCGTTGCGAGTTTGAGGCCAGCCTGAGCTAAAAGTGAGCCCAAGGCCAGCCTGAACTGCATAGTGAGATCCTGTCTCAAAAAGACAACAAAAAAGAAAATTTATTTCTAAATTTACATTGGTTTTGTCACATTTGCTGTCACAGTTTATAATATGTTAGAACCTGTTTAAAGTATGACTTGCTTTATTACATGATGGATCCAGACTATTCCTCTGCTTACTGTTAGTCTTACCTATTAACTAGTTTAGATTGTGATGTTGCTATTGCGGTTACTGCAAGTATTTGGATTTTCTAGTATGATGTTTAGATTTTTAGAACAGTTTACTGTTAGAATAAAGCATCACAATATAACCAGATTTATAAAGAAATTTTTCAGTGTGCACATTGTTCTAACATAGCAAATTGCACATAAAATGAGGAGAAATTTACATTATCACAAATTTGCCAGTTACTCTAAAATTTAACAGATAAAGGCTGAATGGTGGAGAATCACCAGACAAATCATTCATATACGGGAATGCAGACCATGATGGATTCCTAACACTTTTGTGAAAGTTCTAATTCAGTTTTGTAAAAATTTATCCAAAAACTGTATTTTTGTGTTGCTCAAAAAAATTTTTAAAAGGAAGATTATGTACTGTTGCAAAAGAATGTTAAATATATCCACGGATCTAAGTTTTTGTTTGATAATTTTTCAGCTCTGTACTCTTTAGCTATAAATGTTAGAAGACTTTACTAGATTGATAGGACAAAAATTATATTTTTTAATTAATACTTGGTTTCACTTTGTTATATTAGGAATCCTAGCTCGTAATATCCCAGAAGACAATGCTGACATGGCCAGACTTGATTTCAATCTTATAAGGTAAAAATTTGAAATTAAATTTTTAGCACATTAAGGAACAAAACCAAAGAATATGTCAGACCTGGTGGTCCTCACTGTAAACCTTTCCTGAATCCTTTGTGTGGCATTTGACATACATAAGTATTCTGGTTCTGATACATGTGCATTTCTAAAGTATATAACTTCAACTAATATGTCCTTTCTCTGATTTGTTGTCTGATTTTATTTATTTTTTTCTCTTTTGCAATGGCTGGACGTTGAACTCTTTGAGCCTCATACGTGCTGGGGAAGCACTGTCGCCAAAATAGAGTCCACCTCTAATCTTTGTTTATTTAGGAAGTTACACTCTAAATTTTGTTATGTACAACTGCCTTAATTATTAGCATAACGATATTGATCGTTACTTTTAAGTACAGTGATACCTTGGTTATCAGACTCTCAATTCTGGATTTGTGTTCAAATAACGAAAAGTTTGAGAACTGAATATTTTTCCCTTAAGAAATAATGGAAAACTAAATAACTGGTTCTAAGACCCAGAAATTAATTGCACTTACAAACTCATTTTTCTAAGATTTTAACACATTTTGCAGTGATTCCTTTTTTTCTTTCTTTCTTTCTTTTTTTTTTTTTTTTTTTTTTTTTCTTTTTAAGGGATTTGTTTCTTTGTCACGATTCTCACGGTTTCCTTGTTAGCTTTACTGCTGGCTGATACCACTTTCTTTGGAGCCATGGTTATGATATTTTATGCAAATATAGTGCAAACAGAATAGAAGCACAATGACAAACGTTTTAAGGCACTAACACAGCCACTGTATGTTGCCTAGGAGATGAGAGAGAGCAGCTCATAGACTAAGGTATCAACTTCGTATTCTGGTGCTGAAACCAGAATATTTACTGTCTTGGTTACTCTTCTTTCATTGAGACAAAATACCTGATGCCCAAAGTTAGGGAAGGAAAGGTTTATTTAGCTTACGGTTTTTGGCAGTTTCCTGTTCAGCTGGTTCCAAAGTGGGATGGTGTGGTTAAGGGGCAGCCATTCATTGGGCTGCAAGGGACAAGAGTCGCAAGGTGAAAGGGAAAAGCGCAGTCCCTTCCCTCCCTCAATATTGTATGCAGGCTCCAGCCCTGGGTTGGTGCGGCACTCACACGGCCAACCCCAGCGCTAGGCAGCGAACCAATCACAGACGCTATATTCAGCCACCTCCATGACTATGAGGCTTTGGGGGGACGTTTAAATAAACCATAACACATATTTGTCCAGTGCTACATACAAGGGATTCAGGAAAGGTTTATAGTGAATAAAAACAGAGAGGGAGGGAGAGGATCCCCAGGTTTGGCATGTTCTTTTAGTTTTATTCTTTAATGTGCTAAGGTGAGAATGTTCCAGCTTGTAGCCATTCAACAAGCTAAGTGTCACTGTATGTATAATAGATTTATTGAGGTATAATTTATGTGCCATGTAATTCACTGGTTTACACTGTATAATCCAGTTGTCTTTATATATTCACACATGTACAACTATTGCCACATATTCAGTACTCCCCTCCCCCAAGAGACTACTCTTTTAAATAGTACGTTTTTATTAATACCAAGTTCCAACTGATAAAAAAAAAAACTTTTTTAAAAAATACCGAGTTCCATTTGTGGCATTCTTTCATCCTTGTGTATAACATATTTGTCCTCCATGTAACCTCCTTTACACTCCTTTTCCCCTATGTTCTGGTTTAATACTTTCTTCTATTTTTGTTATCTTTTTTGTTTTTTAGATTCCACGAATTAAGGAGAGCATATTTTTTTTGTCTGATTTCACTTGATGTGATGGTCTCCAATTCCATCTGTTTCTTGTAAATGATTTTATTCTTCATTGTGGCTTAATAATATTCCATTTGATATATGTGACCTATTTTCTTTATCCATTACTCTGTTGATGGTCACTGAGGTTTTTTCTGTATCTTGACTGTTATAATTTGTGCTGCAGTACATTCAAGTGCCTGGTATCCCTATAGTGTATGGACTTTAATTCCATCAGGCACAAACCAAAGAATGGACTAAAAGTGGGTCATGTGGTGGTTCTGTATTTAGAGAAACTGCATTCTTTGGTCTCCATTTCCTCCAGTACCTTTCATCTTTGGTACCACTGAGCTGCATTCTGTCTATGGATTTGCTTATACTGAAATAGAACCACCCCTGCCCCATATTGGAGATTGAACCAGTACCCAAGGCCTTGGCTACATATATCTGAGTCTTTTATTTTTAATTTCGAAAAAACTATTTGCTAGGCACTAAGTTGCCCAGGCTGGGTTTAAATTTGTAATCCTTCTGCCTCTGCCTCCTAGAGTGGGTCTTGTTTTTGACTTTTTTTTTTTCCATAGCATGTTTTCAAAGTTCTCTTACACTATGTATATTGTATTTTCCCTTTTTTGGTGGTGTTCTTTGATCATCAAAGAAGTTTTAAAGTTACAATGTTCAGTTTCTTTTGTTGTACTTTTGACATCACAGCTGCAAAGTTATTGCCTAATCATGGGTAATAAAGATCTTTGCCTGCTTTCTTTCAAGGGATTTTTAGTTTTAGCTCTTAAATTTAGGTCTTCGATTCATTTGCTTTTTGTTTTTGTTCTGTCTTTTTGAGACAGGGTCTTGCTCTGCAATTTAGGCTGGCTTTGAACTCACTTTGTAACCCAGGCTAGTCTCAAACTTGCAGTGACCCTCCAGCCCCAGCTTCCAAAGTGCTGGTGTTACAGGTGTGCACCAGCATGCCCAACTTAAAGTTAATTTTTCTCTGTAGGTGTGAGTGGAGATCTAGCTTTATTTTTGTAAATGTGGCTGTCCAGTTGTGGTAACATCATTTGTTGAAAAGGCTGTTTTCTCCTGGAATGATGTTGGCATCCTTGGTCTGTGTGTCTCATTGTGCTGGCCAGCACTTTGTCACCACTGTAGCTCAGTAGAAATTTTGAAATCAAGAACTACTGAGTTATCTCAATTTTGTTTTTCTTATTAAAGGTTGTTTTGCCATTCAGGGACCTTGCATTTCTATGTGACTTGTAGAATCAGTGTGCTCACTTTGTAGAAGAGGCAGTTGAAATTTTCCTAGAGACCTTTTGAATCTATAGATCAATTTGGAGAATATTGGTATTTTAATAACATTAAGTCCTCTAACCCATGAATGTGGTCTTTCCATGTATTGGTTTCCTTTAATTTCTTTAAACATTGTTTTACTTGTAGTATTGTCTGTATTTTTATAGAACTTATTAAGATTTTATTCTTTTTGTGCTGTTGTAGTGGAATTGTTTTCTCAGTTTTATTTTATTTTCTGATTGTTCCTTGCGAATGTGTACTAGTACAATTGATTTTTGTATATCGATCTTATATCCCTTACTTTGTTGAACTCATTTATTAGTGCTAATAGGTTTTCTTGTGAGTTCTTTAGGATTTTCTGCCTATAACTTCATGTCATCGGTAGGTAGAGATTTGCTTCTTTCTTCTGAATCCTTTTGCATAGCTTGTGAATTTCCCCGGCTGAAGCTTCCAACACAATGTCAGGTGTCAGTGGTAAGAGTGGACATTCTTATTCCTGATCTTGGAGAAAGTATTCAGTATGGTGTTAGCTGTAGTTATTTTTTTTTTCATATTTCATTATATTGAAGAAGTTCCTTACTAGTCTTAATTTGTTGTTATTCTTTATCATAAATGAATATTGAGTTTTGTCAATACTTTTTTGTTCGTCTATTGAGATGATCAGGTGCTCCTTATCCTTTATTCTGATATTTTATGCTATTTATTAGATTTTTGAGACAGGATGGCACTGTGTAGTTCAGGTTGGTCTTGAACTTCTATGTAGCCTCAGCAGTCCCCCACCTCAGTCTCCTAAGCACCAGGATTACAGGCTGTTAGCTATTAAATGAACCATGCGTTCAAGGCATTAAAACCCTACTTGGCTCTGATGTGTAATTCTTTTCATATTTTTGTAGTTTCCATTTGCTAGTGCTTTTTCATGTCAGTGTGAATGAGAAATGGTATTCTCTGGATTTTTTTGTGACCCATTTGTCTCGATCTGGCCAGAAGGATAAACCGTGCAGTCTGTTTTCTGTTTTCTAGTTAGTGATCATCAGTTAGGCTCAGTGTCTGGGAGCCTGCCATAAAGCACCTTACTTTATATCCCTGGGATTAGAATTTTCTTCACTAGTTAATTTTACCTCTGTTCTGTATTTTAAAACATTCTTTTGACTGTTGTGTTACTGTCCCTTTCATGACCTCTCTTGTGACCTCTGAAGACCAAATAAACAAGTATTTTACCGTTAGAATGCTCCATTGGTTTTCGTCATTGTATACAATTTGTTGAAAAAGAATCTAATTTAAAATGTCGTAGGCAGTAGTGCAGCCTGAAATGAAGATGTTGTCCGGCACCTTTTCTCATTTCCATTACAAATGTTTTGCATGTTGATGGATTGCTGGAGGTGGATGGCAGAGGTTGCCCGAGTGGCAGCATCACGTGGTTAGGAAAGACTGCCGGGTGTCCATACCAGAGCACCTGCTGGGCAAATTACCTCTGCTCTGTGGCTGTGGACAACGGGTCTCTTCACACAGCTTGTTAGAATTTATTTGATTTCATTTGTGTCAGTACATTGCAGTACATAGCGGTCGCATTAGCACCTTTCCGTGTCCCCTTCCCTGGTTCCCTCACTGTGCCTTTCGTCTCTGGTCCCCTTCCCGCATGTGAAACATCTGCCTCTGTTTCCTGAGTCTGTCGTCTATTTGTATTTCTCCTACATGAAAGACACCATGCAGTATGTAAGCTTGTGTATCTTGATTTCACAGTTTATATTTTAGATCTTTATAATTTTGGTCTTATTTATAGTACTGACTCTTTTTGCTAAATAGCAAAAAATGCTATTCCAAGCTATTCACGTGAGTTGAATTTTTAATGATGGCTGAGTTGCTCTCTGTTTCAGAGTCGTTGCGTGCAATCTGTATCCCTTTGTGAAGACGGTGGCCTCTCCGGATGTGACTGTGGAGAAGGCTGTGGAGCAAATTGATATTGGTAAGATACAAAAACCAGTGTTAAGACCAACAGAGAGGGAATTATTTAAAATTTTAATGAGGCTTCCTTTTGATTTTCATTATTGAGGAAACAAAAGTAGTTACTTGTCCTAGATCATATTCCAGAACAATTATAATCGTTCTTTTATAAGCCCCCTTTCCCAGGGTTGAACCCAGAACCTCTCGGATGCTAAGCAAGCACTTTGGCACTAAGCTCTACGTAGTCCCAGCCAAAGCTGTTACTTTTTTTAAGAATCATCTGGGTGGTTTTTCCCTTTTCCCAGCAGCAGTTAAAGTGAGATGTATGTGTGCACTATGACTGTTTGAAAGGCAGTCATTGATAATAGGATAATATCTTTGTCCTTCAAAGGTGGAGTGACCTTACTGAGGGCTGCAGCCAAAAACCACGCCCGGGTGACAGTGGTGTGCGAACCAGAGGACTACGCCGCGGTGTCCACAGAGATGCAGAGCTCCGACAGTAAGGACACCTCCTTGGAGACCAGGCGCCAGTTAGCTTTGAAGGTGGGACACGCTTCTGTGCAGGGTTGGCCAAGCCCAGCAGTACGGAATTCTCGCTGGGATTCTCACCTGAAGCTCTGCTTGAGCTGCTCTTTAGCTGGAAATGGAGAGACTGAATAGTATGTGAAGAGATTAAAAGAGAATGGCGAAGAGAAAATTTGTTGTGCAGTGCAGCGTTACTGGGTGGCTTTTGTGTGTGCGCATACACAGGGCCAGCGCATGTAGTTTGCTGTGTACCTAAAACCATCTTGTCCCTGCTGCTAGTGTCTCTCACAGCTGCACCTTTCCTTAGGCGTTCACTCACACAGCGCAGTACGATGAGGCCATTTCAGACTACTTCAGGAAACAGTACAGCAAAGGAGTCTCTCAGATGCCCTTGAGGTACGGCATGAACCCCCATCAGACGCCTGCCCAGCTGTACACGCGGCAGCCCAGGCTTCCCATCACAGGTAAAGTGAGCGTCTTGTGGCACGGTGGGCTGAATCTGGATGCATGTATGTCTTTGTCCTGTATCTGATGGGATCTACATTTAGAAGGTAAAGTAGGTTACATGGTGGCTCTTGGAGCCCTCCAAGCGCAGATGTTGAGGTGATTTGGGGTTGTGAAGAGAGCTGGTTGCAGGCACGGCTTGGAATAGTATCTTTGCTGTCTAGGTTTTCTGAAGATGCCGGCCAACGTGAGATGGTCTAGCAGAGGACCAAGGCGAGGCTTTAGGTGCTTCTTCACTTAGCAGGCAAGACAGGCCAATCTGGAGAATCCCAGCAAGTTGGGATGCCATTGAGAATAAAGAGTCTACCTTGGGAGTGACTAAACAAGCAGTTTTCACTAAAGCAAAACAAGACTGGAAGTGCAGCTCAGTTTTCGCTGGGCTTAATCCCCAGTATTACCAAAACCAAAACGTAGTCTCCTCAAAATTGTAATTCTAGAAGACCAGTTGAAGTAGGCTAAAGCAGAGTTTTAAGGTGAGGAAGTAGCAGTGATGGATAATCCATTGAACCGAGAAATGAAGAGTCGGTGAGTTTGTAGAATTAAGAGAGGCTTTTTCAGTGTTTGCCCCGTTTTTTCTTTTCTGGCACCAGGAATTGAACGCGTGACCTTGGGCTTGGTAGACAGGCACTGTGCCACTTAGCTTATCCCTCACCCCCGTTTTGCTCTCGAGGTGCTCTGTTAGAGCCCGTCCCTCCGTGGTCAGAGGGACAGTGGGGAAAGGCAGAGGAGAAAGCTACCGCTGTGGAGGCCTCAGAGGCCCAGCTCTCAGGAGGGCTGGCCCTGGGCCAGGGCAAGGGCCACTCCAGTCGCATGCAAAGCAAGTGCAGGACGCAAGGTCTTTCTGCACCTGCCGTGGTGACAAGCAGCAGCTTTCTTCCTCCCTGGCAGCTGCCTGGGGAGGTGTGCATGAGAGCAGGGTTGGAGGCTTGAAGCTGTGAAATACTCTTCTCCTTAACCCTTCACGTTCAGTGGGCCTGCAGGTTCTGTTAGTGCCCTGCGTTAGGTGCATTTTGAAAATAAAAATACCCAAATTCCAATGTTATTGCCCATTTCCCTTTTTTTTTTTTTTTCCTTGGAGGGTGGGGTTGGAATTGAACCTGGGGCCTTAACATATGCTCTGCCAGTGTGCCCTGCTCATTTCCTGTCTCCAAGTAGTATTTCATTGTATGTGAGTGTACCAGTTTATTGACCTATTGAAGGAAGTCAAAACTTGAAAGACAAGATCAAAACCACTCCCGTGTAAGTCTTTGTACGGGTGTAAGTATTCATTTCCTTTGGTCATTTTCTGTTTCTTGCCATTTTATTTCTTGGTTGCCTCCCCTGTAATTTCCTTAAGACGGTTTTATCTTCTGGGAGAGTACATGGGATTATTTTATTTACTGATGTGTGCCAAGTACTCAGAGTCTAATGTGGTAGGCTTTCGGGAAACACTGGCAAGGTTTTACTTTTAAAAAGTCTCTACAATCCAAGATAACACATGAAGGAAATTCAGTTTTTCCTTTTTATTCACAAACAATATCAGCTCCTGAGTATCAGCTGCCAATAATAGAGAAATAAGTACCAGAAACCCCAAAGTTGAGCTCTCTTGTCACTGGAGTTCTGCTTTAGGCAGGGTCTTTTGTTCTGCGATTAAGGAAGAAAACAACATATTTTTCCTCCTCTTCCTTCCCACCCATAGCTCTTGCTTTAGATTACAATGAAATGTAATCAATATGCTTTATGTCTTAACATTTATCCTGTCTCTGCCCTTGCTACAGTTGTTTAATTTTACCCTGAATTTATGTGGATTCCTGACTAATTGCTGAGCTTGTCATAGTTCCTCCCATTCTTGAACCCGTTATTGACTTATTTCTAGAGTATCTCTCTAACATGCAGGCGTGTGCCTGCAAATGTGTGTGTGCATGTGTGCATTTCATACGGATGGGTTCAGGCTTGGCTGCTTTATTTTCCTTTATCGTTGAGTGCTTACACGTTCTTACATGTTTGTATAGATCTTTCTGCTTCTTAACTGTATTTTAGACATTTGTGTAGACTTACTACATGTGTTTATTCTGGAAATCAACATAATTCTGAGCTTCTTGACTCCTTGCGGTAAAGCTTGTGTGTGGTTTTGTATGTAGTTCTCAACGGAGCCCCTGGGTTCATCAACCTGTGTGACGCTTTGAACGCCTGGCAGCTGGTGCAGGAACTCAGAGAAGCTTTAGACCTTCCAGCTGCAGCCTCTTTCAAACACGTCAGCCCAGCAGGTACATGCCCTGGAACTGCCCCAGATAGCTTTCGTTTAAATTTCAATTATAAAGCTTCACTGGCAAGTCTGTTCGTAATAGTGTCAATACAGTACTTGTGATAATTATGTAACATCAGCCATGAATTTTTTTTCACAGTGTAAATATGAAGGTTTAGAAATAAAAGTGAAGTGGCTTAATGTTATATACCAAAATAAGTTTTTTTATACATTTGAAAAATCTACCTTGGTAAGCAAATTGTTCTCATGATACTTTATATCTTTCTATAGCCATTATGTGAGACACCTTTTTGCTTTTGCATTGAAGTCCTTTAATTCCACAGTTATGCCTCTCGGTCTGTTGATGGCCCGTCACATAATGGTTCTGCATGTTTATTGAATGTTAAAGCCTTGTCAGCAGGGAGAAATAAATGTGAGATGCCAGGCAGAACAGAGTGAGTCAGTGATGAAGTGGCCTGGCTTCTGCCAGGCTGGGCACTGTCAGGCTGAAGTTTTGATACAGGAATTAACAAGTAACAAGTTAGGGTTTGAGGCTTATCAACTATGTCATGGTTCTCTCTGCTAGGTGCTGCTGTTGGAATCCCCCTCAGTGAAGATGAGGCCAGAGTCTGCATGGTCTATGACATGTACAGTTCCCTTACACCTGTATCGACAGCATATGCAAGAGCAAGAGGTCAGACTGATGAAAAGAAGAAGCAGTGTTTTCGACTGTGACATACAGCTAATTAAGCACAGAGAGCAGAGCCCTTCTGGGGAAGCCTTTATATGTACCCACTCTTCACAGAGAAGATAAACTCTCCAAAGAAAAGTGCCTTCTTCCAAGGGGCAAGATCATAAATCTAATTTGAATGTGTTAATCATTTTGAGGACCCCATGAGAATATAAATATTAAATAGTTGGTTTGGTTGTGGGGCTTAAAGAAAAATTTTCATTACGTATACATTTTCTCCTATGTGTTATAAACAGTTTATGTCCAGTTCAAGGAGATGCGTAAGATCCAAGTCCAAGATCAGCATTATACTGAAATTCCTCCACTTTCCTATTTTGTACTACTGTTTCTTACTCGCATTTGATCTCGTCAGCCTGAGGTAGCAAAAGAAGAGAATGACTAGAGAGTAGTCCTTACAGAAGTTGCTAAATGGAAACAACAGCTGAAGGGGAAAAGTGTATTCCACTTCAGGACAGACCACTTCTTGGGGGGAAGAAATGGTCAGGAGGCGGCGTCATTTGTGGCCAAGAATTTTAATAGCAGTCTCTTCACCCAGTGGAGAGGCACTTAGCAATCAGATGAGCCTCTGCTTCATCCAGTGCAGAAACGGCGGGTAGAGAGAGGGACGGACAGGAAGTGCTTGTTTTAGTGCCATTTTGCACAGGGGCATGGAGACCAAAGTACCGACGCACTCTGACAGTGGAGAGTGGAGGAGTGAGGTAGCTAGGGCGTGTAGATGTTGCCTTTCAATAAAAGATGATAACCCCCCCCCCAAAAAAAAGAGCAACGTTTTGTACCAAATAGAGCCAAATAGTAATATCCTTTGTTTTAAGATTTCAGACCATCTTTGTTTCATTAATACTTGAGAATGAGTGTATGACTGCCTCAGAGATTTCTTTATAAAAGTATACACGAGTAGTATTTTAATAGCGTAAATAGAAACATTGAAATTGGTACATGTAATTTCAGATTAAGCTATTAAATATATTTTTATTTATATGACAAAAGTATGGTTATTCTAACTGTACTAACTTAGGCTTATGTTTTATCTTTCAGAAATGTGTAATTCTTGCATCTAATAACATGGGTATTAATGATGTTCATGATTGTTCATGAAGTTATTGACATAATTTATTATCTCTAGTAGGGATCAGCAAACTTAAGTGCCTTGGGCTGAATCTGGTTAGATTTTTAGTTTTATAAGTATAGTTTGATTTTTTAAAAAAGTATAGTTTGATTGATTTAAGGCCGTGTGCTTTTATTTATGTATTTTCTATGGCTGATTTTGAACTACAATTATAGATCTGAGTAGTTGCAGAAGAGACCATATGACTACAAAGCTTCAGAAATATTTACTATTTGGCCCTTAGGAAAAGTTTGCCAAATGCTATTCTAGAATGTAAAATTAATGAATACTTTCTTAATGATTACAGCATCTTTTTCATGCAAGCATACTGTTTAATGAAAATCCTAATTTGTGTTTACAGGGGCTGATAGAATGTCTTCATTTGGTGATTTTATTGCATTATCTGATGTTTGTGACGTCCCAACTGCAAAGATTATCTCCAGAGAAGTTAGTAGACTTTCATATAATGTGATCCGTGTGCAACTGAGCAGTGTTTTGTTTATAATGTTCATTGAAACTGTAACTTGTGATATTTATATTGGTATGAGCTATAAGTTAAATTTACTGTGTTCATATTTTACAGAAAGCACAAAGCCTTGAATTACTATTTTTTTTAAGACTTAGTGAGTTAATGTTTAAAGTGAGTAATAGACTGTTTTGATAAAGGTTTTCTTTGTGTATTTAATTCTTTTAAGTTTTCTAGTGCATGTATTTTAATGCTAAAGACAGGGACCACTTTGGGTGATGATGAAATAAAGAATGTTAACTATAAACCTTTAAAGATCTGAAAGGAACTCTATAATTAGGGGAAAAAATGTAAACTGCTGTGATAAATTAATCCGTATCAGTTGAATACCAGACAGATATTCCAGAAAGTTCAGAGTGGTCACTGGTAATAAGGAGATGGAAAAGAAAAGGTGGTAGCTCAAGACAGCAGAGAGGGAGGAAATAGGAGGGCAAGGGGCGGGTTTCACCTGTGACACTGTTACTCCAACCACAGTGCTCCCGGTCAGAGCAAGGCTGGGCACTGGTACTGTTACAAGATGTTATCGGTGAGCCTCTTATTCTGCTGCTGAAGACCATGTTGTGCCCAGCTCATTTAATGTGAAAAATGTGCTGTTTGTAGTGAAAAACACCACCTCCCCAAAGAGAGGAGTAAGGTCTGGTTTTTCTTCCCGAGGTACGTAAGTTAGAGTGGATCACTCATGCATTGTTAGTTAAACAAAACAGTCAAAAGGAGCCCTAAAGACTAAGTCTGTTCTGATGAAGAATTTTTTAAAGTTTAGTGTTAACGTTATCTGTTGGAGATAGAACCAGAAGCTTGCAGAATTATTTAGGACAGATAATTGTGACTGGATCTTCAGAGCATTCTCTGATTTTTTTTTTTTTAATGGAAATTTACTTTGATATACTTATAGGTGTCTGATGGTATTATTGCCCCAGGATATGAAGAAGAAGCCTTAAAAATACTTGCCAAAAAGAAGAACGGAAACTACTGTGTTCTTCAGGTTAGAGCAGTTTATGTTTGCTGTAAAAATTTGTCCTTTGGTCTCCTTTTTCACGTGTTTAATTTTCCCTTCTGATTTATCCCACTTTACTGCAGTGTCTTTAATCCTGCAATTTTTTTATAGTCTTGATTTTTTAAGACAAGGATGGCCTCATCAGTTTTCTATTTTTTAATTTTAAAAAATTTTGTATGATGTCCTGTTCAAAAAGTATTAAATGTTATTATTTGAAGGAAAAATCCATTCTTCCCTTCTGTCACTCTGCATTTGTTTTAAAAACAGTGGCCCTTGGGGCTGGGGATTTTGCTCAGCGGCATAAGCACCTGCCTTGCAAGCAGGCGGTTGTGAGTTCGATCCCTGGTACCGATAAAAATGAAAAGACCAAAAAAAAAAAAAAAAAACAGTGGCCCACAGTGTAATCGCACTTCGTAGGCTGGCCTTGAAGTCACTGTGTAGCCCAGGCTGGCCTTAAACTTGGGATTTCTCTCCTTCAGTGGGTTTCACATTCTGGGATTACAGGCACGCAGTGCCACACCCAGTTCATTTTGATATTTTTCTACTATAAGTGATGTGTAGCAGAGAAAATTTCTTAAGTGTAAAGCACAGTGTTATATCTGTCAGGGTGCTCAGAAATTAGGCACCGTGGTGCACACCTGCAATCCCAGCACTCAGGAGGCTGACAGGAGGACAGAGGGTCGCTGCTAGTTAAAGGCAGCCTGTACTGTGCAGAGATCTGTCTTAAACAGAGAAAGGAAATTGGAGTACAAACCATACTAATTAGGTAAAGTCAAGAGATGGACTGGTTGCAGGACCTCTGAAGAAATAAATATTCTCAGATTCTCAAATCTGAGAATATAAAAAATAGAATGTGATATTCATGCCATAACCTGTTCATTAACAAATCTGTTTTATCTGCTGACCTTCCAAAAGGACTGTAGATAACTTTAATGTTACCAGAAATAGGCTCATAGAACCATTGGTTTTAATATATTGTGTTTTAGGTTATAAGTTAATATCTGTTTCTTAGATTTTGTTTTTTTGGTGATACCTGTTAATGCATGTTCCAGCAAAATGGTGTTGCCTAGCCATTGTATTACACTACTAAATGATGGTCACATTGGTTTTACAATCATGGGTAGAACTTTACTTAGACTAAAATCTTTGTACCTGAAGATAAGAAAGAGTATACATTTAATGCGTCTTTTTAAATTTGTGTCCTAGATGGACCAGTCTTACAAACCAGATGAAAATGAAGTTCGAACTCTTTTTGGCCTTCATTTAAGCCAGAAGAGAAATAATGGTGTCATCAACAAGTCGTTATTTAGCAATGTGGTTACCAAGAACAAAAATGTAAGTTTGAAAATACCAGAACTGAATGTGAGTAACTTGAGTAGTGTGTTTTCAATATTTATAAACGTACGTGTTTATTAAAGTCTTTGTGCAAACAGCTAACTCATCTTTGCATTGTCAGTTAAGCCTGAGAGCGTACAAAATGAGTAAGTGCCCACATTGGAAGCTTGCGTGTGTGTGTGTGTGTACATCCCTAGGTAGGCATCCTCAGTTGTGCGTAAACAGGATCATGTTTTCTGTAATGTTCTTTTTTGCGTATGTGAGACTGCATGTGTGTTTCCATGTCAGTAAATGTAGAATCACATTTTTGTTTGAAAAGTCGCATGAGGACCCATGTGTGGGTATACCACGGGGGACCTTCAGCCTGTGTGAGCTGTGCCGTGATGGACGTTTCTGTGTGGAGTCGTATCTGGCCTTTTGGCTTGCCTGGGCTGTGCTGGGTCATATATAAACTAATGCAATATTGTTAATGTACTAAGTAATGCAACTTTATTTTTTTATTATTTTAATTATAACATAAAAAGAGGGCAGGTGGTCTGCAGGCTGCAGTTTGGACCTGCCTGCCTACAGGTCTTTTTATTTAGGCTCTTGGTCATCTTAAGAAGGACATACTCAAAGGATAATGGTGAATTTCCAATGTATTATTTTATTTAATCTCTGGACACACTGTGGAAGCGATTCATCTCTACTGTAAAGATCATAAAATTGTGACATAGGTTATAGTTAAGAAATTTTCAAAGGTTACCCAGTAGGGGAATGCATGAGCTGGTATTTGTTGTCCAAAATATCTTTTTTTTTTTAATGTCAGGAATTGAATAGTGGGCCTGATGCGTGTTAAGCATTTACTCTACCACTGAGCTACAGCTCCAGCACCAGAATATCAGGCCATCAGTTTTTCAGGGTATTTTTCTGTGTTTAGAGCTGACTGTGCTTTCCTTTAGTACTTTGAAGATATCAGCCCCTTTTTGTCTACGACTGTCAGTATGCCCAGAATGTTTGAGTGAATGCAGACCTTGGACCTGAACACCGTGGTGCTGTGTTGGTGGTATGGGCCTGGTGCTTCCTTCAGAGTTTGACTTACATACCTGTGGCAGCTGAGGTAGAGCATCTCCCTTCTGCTGTCAGAAATGGAGCTGGTTCAGCGTTTGCGTACAGTCCCTGATCTGCCAGAGCCCTGGTGCCTACTGGCATCCTCTTTTCTGGTGCACTAGGAACTCCGTTTTGTTCCTTAGTCCCTCTTCCTAAGCAGAGGCTGGACTTGCTTATTTCCCTCTGGTTTTATTGTGTGCTGCTGGGGCTGGGGATTTAGCTCAGCGGCATAAGCACCTGCCTTGCAAGCAGGCAGTCGAGAGTTCGATCCCCGGTACCGATAAAAGGAAAAAGACAAAAAAAAAATATATTGCGTGCTGCTTGGAAAGAGCCTGGGGCAGGCTTATTCCATCCACTCCCCTCGTCTCGGTTCTCTCCGGCTGTCAGTTAGTCTGGGAGCGCTCGGTCCAGCTGCCCCCTTGTCCCTCACACCGCTCACTGCAGCAGAGCCAAGACCAAGAGGAAACTGCTCTTGTTCCTGGTCTCCCTCCAGAGGCTGTACCTAGCATGGCGGAAACAAGCTCTGACGTCTTTATTGGCTAGTTTTTGGTTTTGGTTTTGGCTAGTTTTGTCTGTTAAGCATTTGATTAATGTTTTTTTTGTGGTGGTTGTTCCTTTATTGGCTATTGCTCTATTTCATGTAGTCATTGATGCAGGAGTCTTTCTATCCTTGAGAATTTATTCCTTTTTAACATTTTTCTTGTAGGTTTGTAGGTATTGGACTGATTTCATAATTTAGCAATCTCTGATAGGCTCTGTGAATCTGAGTATTTTTTGCAGTATTGAGAGGGTAAAATTGTAATCTTTTATCTAAATTTTTCTCTCCTTGCTTTCTGCATATTCTTAGTAAAAATTTGGAAACATGACAATGATAGGTGTATCCTCCTTTAGTCTGTTTTCATTTTACAGCAGATAATTGTTCACCTTCCTATCCCAGCGCTACTTCAGTCTCGAGAGCTAAACAGGTGGAACGAGTCATATTAATACAGAAAACATTTCCATTATTTCCTCTGCTCCTACTTTCTTTGAATAGTGCTTTTCAATCTATTGGATTCTCTCGTTCCCATCCCACTCACATTTCTCATATTCCTGATCCTTACTCAGAATCCTTGGGCTCTGTCTGAAAGTAGACATCTAGGCATTAGTTACCAATCCTTCTGGAACCCAAGGAACCACATTTATAGGTGGTGACTTAAATATTAGATACATAAGAAAGAGTATGTATTACATTGCTAACACCTTACAATAGTAAGTTCTTAAAAAATGGTTTCTTTAACTTAAACTTGCCATTTTAAAATTAAGTAAAAACTAGCTTCACAGGCAGTTGTCAGGGCTCCACGTGCCCTTTGTCCTGTCTCTTCCTGCTGACATCTTACAGGACTGCAGTACAGGACTGCAGCTGTGGAGAAGACGCAGGGAAGGCGCGGAACAGGACCCCAGCTCTCGCTGTGCTGCTTGCAGCGTGCCTCGACCTTGGGCTGTCACTTACCTGCTGTCCCTTTCTCAGTTTTTATTTGTTACGAAAATTGCACTAATGCACTGCTTTTTATGTGGCTGTAAGTTTTTACTTCTGTGGTGAATGTCCGTGAGTATTAATTGCTTTGTGGCGTGGTAGTTGTATGCTTAGTGTTAAAACTGCGAAAGTGTTTTCCAGAGTGGGCATCCCATTTTATATTCTCACCAACAGTTGATAAGTGGTTCCATTTCCGCAGGCTTCAAGTTCGTTTTTGTTTTGTTTTTATTTTTTTCAGACATTCTGGCAAGTGTATAGTTATGTCCTACTAATTGTAGCATAATTTGCATACCTAAAAACTCATGATGTTGAACATTGTTCAGTTACCACCCACATGTCATTTTTGGTGAACCTTCACTTGGCCATGGCCATATTTCTAATTAAACTTTTTGTCACTAAGTTTTTTATGTGGGTAATGTGTGTTATAGGTCCTTGTTCTTTATTCATTAGGTAACTTTCAGATATTTCTTTACAGTCTGTAGTGTGTCTTCTCTTAACAAAGGGTCTTTCACAAAATGGAAACTTGATTTTGATGATATCAGATTTAACCAGTTTTCCGGTTACCTAATTTACCAGTTAACCTGATTTACTAGTTTACCAGTTAATATTTACCCAGCATACCAAGTTGAATTTCTTTAAAGATAATGAGTGACCTTGTTGATGGTTCTGCTGACAGTTCACAATACGTGAAGTTTTGAATAGGTTTTGGGATGGGAGGGTGGGTGTTTCTGTTGTTTTGCTTTGTCTTTGTGTGTGTGTGTGTGTGTGTGTGTGTGTGTGTGTGTGTGTGTGTGTGTGTGTTTATCGATTCCAGTGACCGAACCCACGACTGCCCACTTGAAAGGCAGGTCCTTATGCCGCTGAGCTAAATCCCCAGCCCCTGTTTTGTCTTTTTGAGTCAGAGTCTTGCTATGCAGTTTGGGCTGACCTTGGGCTCACTTTGTAACCCAGGCTGGTTTCGAATTTACAACGATCCTCCTCTCTCAGCCTCCTAAATGCTGGTATTACAGGTGTGAGCCACCATACCCGCCTTAAATTTTGAATAGTTTTTACGTAGGGCATTCTAAACAAAGTGGAAAATAACCCTAATTTGATTTTCTATAAACAGCTTTGGCTGTATGTATATATACAGTGGTGAATAATGTCTGAAAATTGACCATAACATTGTTTGTGAACACAAGTTTTATAATATCTCCAGATACTGAAAGGCACTCTGGTCAGGAAAATATTATTTGTGTGTGTTGAAATGAATACACAAGTCATCTTTCGTGTGATATACGCAGACTTAATCCCGAGTTGCTACAACATAGTGTAGTTTGAAGTTCCTTGGTGTTGGGCACTGATTGTAAGGAGGTCCACCATGCAGAGGTGTTACGGATTTGATCCTTTGAGGGAAGCCTGGTTGAGTGTAGCAGCATGAACAGTTAGTTTTTCTCTCCCATTTGAACCGCATGAATACCTCACGGCATGTGAGGAGCTTAGCGTTAATGACGTTCCCAGAGCCCTGTGCCACTGAGCGCCCTGCTTGCTGTGCCTGTTTCAGTTGTCGGAAGCTGCCCTCAGAGACCTCGTTGTCGCCACCGTCGCTGTCAAGTACACTCAGTCTAACTCCGTGTGCTACGCCAAGAACGGGCAGGTAACCAAGCTGTCATACCCACCCCGGGGGGACTGTTACTTTACAAAATGATATTCCAAAATCCATCCACCTCAGGAACTAGACAGCTTGACAAGGAAAACTTCCAAGTTTTCCTCGTCTGGCTGTGTCAGGATTTACTCTGCACCTTGGTAACTGCTCAGATAATGATGATTAAGAATAGCTTTGGAACCAAGTACTAAAGCCTCTTGCCTGGAATGTGTTGGCACGTTGGGAATTAGCGGGATGCTAGAGCTCTCACAAGATAGGCTTCATGGCTGTGGCTCCAGTGGTAGAGTTTCCAGTGAAGAGGAAGGGAGGAGGGCGCTTCCACCGGCAGCTATGCTGCTGCAGCTTGCAAGCTGTTTCCACATGCACATCTTGCACTGTCTCCCCCCAGTTCTGGGGATGGAGCCCAGGGCCTTGTGTGCTAGGCAAGTGCTTTGTCTCCTGGTAACAGCCCCAGTCTCTTACACTATCTGTCTAAAAATTTTGAGCAGAAAAACTGCTAGACGAAGAGTGAGCCTGATCTTTAAAAATCAGAATTACTGAGGTATAATGGTAACGGCGCAATAGTAGTTTTCACAAGTTACACACTTGTGTGATCAGTGCCACAACCGAGATGCAGATTGTCCCCACCTTAAAATGTGAACATAAACCGTGCCTTGGGCTTAGGATAGTGTGAAGTACACCATGTTGCCATTCTTTTTCTTACTTTCAGCACACTATAAACTGGATGAGGTGTTCAGCACTTAATTACAAAATGGGCTTTGCAGGGGCCGGGGATTTAGCTCAGCGGCATCAGCACCTGCCTTGCAAGCAGGCGGTCATGAGTTCGATCCCTGGTACCGATAAAAATGAAAAAGACAAAAAAAAATAAATAAATAAATGGGCTTTGCGTTAAGGTGGTTCGGGCTCATTGTGTAGACTGAGTACAGCAGGCAGAAGGTGGGCTGTGCTGAGAGCTATGATGTTTGCTAGGTTAAGTTATTTAGTTCATTTTGGACTTAAGATGTTTTTAGCTTACTGTGGGTTTGTCAGCATATAAACCCACTCTTGAGTTGAAGACGATCTATACTTACTGTTTCTTACTATATTAACTTATCTCATGTATAAAGCTATTGGATGCAACATTGAGCTGGTTAATCACTAATGTTCTCCTGTCATTAAAATTGACTTTGCACAAGGTTCAGGACAAGGGGCCCTTCTCACAGTGCCTTTAGCTTATCTCTTAGAATTTGTTAAATTATTTGGCCCACAAATTGGGGCAGATGGATATTCATTAGCATGATACCTGGAAGACCCTTTCAGGAGTTCAGTCACTGCCAACGGCTAAGATTGTCAGCTTCTAGTAACAGAGTTGCAGGAGGTGGCAGCTACTGGTGTCCTTGGCATGAAGCTTCACCGCTGATGTCCGTGGTGAAGAGTGCAGTGTCGGAGGAGGTGCTCATTGTGTGTCTGTGTCCCTCAGGTTATTGGCATTGGAGCTGGACAGCAGTCTCGGATACACTGCACACGCCTTGCAGGGGATAAGGCCAACTGTTGGTGGCTTAGACATCACCCACAGGTGCTTTCAATGAAGTTTAAACCGGGAGTGAAGAGAGCAGAAATCTCCAATGCCATTGATCAATATGTGACTGACACCATCGGTGAGGTAAAAGGCTTGTCGTTGAGTTCTGGCCAAACTGGGGTGATAATCACCCTTTTATGTGTAACAAGTTGCACGTATCCACAGAGAAAAAGGGATATTGTTCTTGAAATTCTGTATTGTCTAAAATTATTAACCAAAACTGAACAGCAGTTCAGTTTTGTTCTGTCTTATTTAACCTCATTATTTCCATCCCACACAGACCTGCTCTTTTTTAAGTTACTTACCATTGGCGTAGTTTTATATAACTGAGTGTCCCCTGTGGCCTAAAAGCTTTCCATGACGAAGAGTTTTTCACTCATTTCGAGGTGTCCCTTGTCAGACAGAGGTTTGCTGATGAGAGGTGTGTGTCCAACATCAGGTACAAATGACCTGGTATTTTCTACAAGAGACACTAATAGCCCAATATATTTTTCTTACCTTTCATGTTTTTATACATCTTCTGTTTTGAAGAAGGCATGTGGGAACATTAAAATTGCAGACCTCAGGCAGGCTACTAGGGGAAACGATTTGGCCCCGTTTCTAGACATAGAGCCTGAGAAAATACTGGATGGAAAATAAGAGGTGTGGTAGTCAAAGAATGGTCGGTGGTCTTCAGCAGAGGCGCACTGTGTTGCCCCAGGAGCCTCCCTCTGGATGAGGAGGGAGGCCGCAATGTGCCTCTAACCTGAAAGTACTTTACATGTCTTTTTATTTGTACTTTACTACGTGGATTTTTGTTTTGGATACTACCCAGCCAATGCCTGATGATAGTCTGGGAAGAATCTTTCCGTATGAACAAGAATAAAACCGTGTTAAAACGAACAGAAGTGCATTTTAAAATAGGAGTGTGTGTCTGTCTGTGCTGCTGTAAAGGAATGCCCCAGGCTGAGTGATTTAAACAATAGGTGTTCACCGCTCATAATTCTGGGGCTGAAAAGCCCAAAGTCAGGGTGCCAGCAAGCTTAGTGTCTGCTTTCACTATGACACCTTGTCGCTACATCCTCTGGAGAGGACAGATGCCATTTTTGTAGGTACTGATCCATTCATAAGGACAGAACCCTTGTAATGACCCCCGAAAGCCTCACCTCTAACACTGTCGTATTGGAGATTAGGTTTCATCCTACCTTTTAAAGAGAACTCAGACTTTTAAACCTTAGCAAACACTGGAGCCTTGTTTGGATTTCTCCATAGCTGACTTACCACAGTTGTTGCATACCTGTCATCTGTTTGCCAGATTGGGGATGAAGGGTAACTTTGAAAAGTCATATTTTGAATGCGATTTGCTGTTGAGGTAATAGATTTAACTTAGAGATTCAAGAACAAATACTTGAAATAAACTGATTTACATAGTCAAATGATAGTTTTTATTTGAAATTTAGAATTTTCTTCCTGAGACTATTTTTTAAAAATCAAAGATCTTGTAAAATTAGGAGCCTTAGATGTTTCATTATTTACAATTCAGAAGTCCTAGAAAAAAAATGCCATGTGTCTTCTGGCTTGGGATTTTTATCTGGTATGGGATTAACCGTGCGTGTCCCCTCACTGCCCCCACAGGGTGATGATCTGGTGAAGTGGAAAGCACTGTTCGAGGATGCCCCTGCGTTACTCACCGAGGCAGAGAAGAAGGACTGGGTGGACAGACTGAGCGACGTTGCCCTCAGCTCCGATGCCTTCTTTCCCTTCAGGGACAATGTGGACAGAGCTAAGAGGGTAAGCAGGAGGACGCGTGCCTTTGCGAGGGCCTGAGCATTGTGTCAAATGATTTCAGAAACTTGCCTTGTGATTTGTAAGCAGTGAAGAGTTATAGATCAGAGCTGTGACATAATGTGATTATAAATCAGTAATAGAATTATTTGGCTTCTCTGTGAAATGTGGGGATAACTCAAATCTTGTTACTGTACCTTGCCTTTTTTAAAAAGAGAAACAGATTTATTAGGTAGAATTTTTTTTAAAAAAAAGTTACACACTCAGAGCTCAGGCCCTCAAGGGAAAGGTGCCTGTTTTGCCTCTGACTGGATGAATCATTTTTGGTGTATGCTTCTTTGGAGGGGGATTTTGAGGTTTGCAGGTTTTTACCTCTAGTTGTGTTTTGAAAATCAATACTGATCTTTCCCACAGAGCGGTGTGGCCTACATTGCGGCTCCTTCTGGTTCTGCCGCCGACCAGGTTGTGATCGAGGCGTGTGATGAGTCAGGTCTGGTCTTGGCTCATACGGATCTTCGGCTCTTCCACCACTAAAATTACCACACGGAAACTTCCCATGCTGGCTTATTGGTGGATGAACAAGCATGTGAACTTTTGAAAGCATCTTTTTAGAAAGTAAAATATGACATTAATAATCAGACCCATGGATTTAGGTAGCTGCGTTTTACTTGAGAAGATATGTGCTTTCAGCCTGCCTGCCCCTGAGACAGGCCAAGGTCTGCACCTCTCCCTCCCTCGTGGAGGTCCGCTGCCCCCACCACACTCCGCATGTGACACCCAGAAACTGCAAGGATGTGTCCTGCAGGCTCCACACTTCCTTGTAGCTTTCCTCTCAGGCAGGCTTTCTTGTCAGAACTTCTGAGAAGCTCAGTTGTCTGCTTTCTAACAACAGCAGAAAACCTCTTGGGAGCTGAAACCCTGGTGGATTAGTGAGTCATGCTGACCCCTGAGGATAATGCTAATGCCTGCTTTCTTCTCTGTTTGTAAAATGTTGCCTGTAACTTTAGCAGTGGAGATCACCTCTGTGGAACCGCATAAATAAACATAATCAGGGTTTAGGGTGTAGTTTGGTGACAGAACATGAGCTTAGCATCATGAGGCCCTGCATTCTTTTCCTCCCACTAAAAATCCCTCCATAGAATCAGAAGAAAGTGATCTGTATGGACAGTGTTCCACCCTGAGCCCTTTCAGTGAACCTGGTGCTGTGACTGTGCGCCCACACATGTGGGCTTGACAGCACATCTGGATTTTACCTGTAGTCAGGGCCAGCCTTTTGCCACTGTTCACCTCAGCAGATGAGTCCTGTCTTCTTTCCTGCGTCTTCAAGTGTCTCTAAGTAAAAGCTTTTCTGGTTGTTTAAAGTTCATTTTGTAAGTCATTTATATATTGACTAATTTTTCAGCCTTTGAAAAGTGTCGTCTGCTGTTGAAACAAAGCTGGTACGTGTGATCAATAAAAAACTGCAGAAAAAACGTCTGTCTTAAGTTACTTTTCTTTCCTTGCTGAGAAATACTTGATGCCCAAAATTAAGGAAGGAAAGGTATGTAGCTCACAGTTTTTGGAGGTTTCAGTCCACACTGAGCTGGCACCAAGGCAGGGTGGTGTGGCTGAGGGGCAGCCTGTCATGACCACAAGCGACACGAGTGAAAAGGGTGAAGGGGAGAAGAGCTCCTCCTCCCCTTCCTTATATTGCATGCCAGCTCCACCCTGGGCAGGTGCAGCACTCTCTGCTAGTCCAAACTAGACAAAAAGCCAATCACAAATGCTAGGCGCAGGGCTGGTGATTTAGCTCTGTGGCTTAAGTGCAAGGTCTTGAGTTCGATCCCCAGAACCACAACAAAAACAAATGCTAGACTTAGTGCCTTCAAGGCCTTCCCACTGTGGCTGCATGAGGCTTTAGGGAGACATGTAAACATAAGCTATAACAGTAGGTGACTTCCCAGGGTGGCTTGTGTGACATTGTAATCTAAGCCTCAGTTTCTCGGATTTCTCACTGCTCTGAGGTAAGCTCAGGCCCTGTTACGAGTTAGGAGGCAAACCACTGCCTTGTGAGTGGCCCCTACTTCAGCCCTCCCACCACATCTAGCTTACACTTGTCCAGATGCCTGAGCCAAAAATACCCAGTGAAGATTCTCATGAATTCCTGACCCACATAGACAGATAACCCTGTTGTAAACCATGGTTTTGGTGGGGGGTTTTGTAGCAGTGTGTTAGCTACTTTCATTGCTGAGACAAAATGCCCCATGCCCAAAGTTAAAGGGAGGAAAGGTTTATTTGGTTCACAGCTTGAGGTTTCAGTTTACAGTCAGCTGGTGGCAGGGCAGAGTGGATCATGGTAGCAGAAAAGGGCAAAAGTAACCAAGGCCAAAGCGGGAAACCGACTTGCTTTTATTTTATCAGACTGGTGGCATTAGGGTGGTGCCCATCCAGGCGGTGGACTGATCCAGCCATCACCCTCAGTCCCAGCACCTTTTATCCCAGCATTGCAGTAGGAATCGATCACAAACTAGATTCAGCCACCTCTGAGAAAACTCAGGGACCACATGAGGCTGTAGGGGGATATCTGGGCACAAACCATAACAAGCTGTAAATAGCTAATACAGATCTAGGCTCGTAAACTGTCTCCTCTAAATTATTGATATTCTTTAACTTGACTGAAAGTTAGCATTAAGGGCATAATTTAGTACTGCCTAATACTGCATGGTCTATCCAGGCCTTCCCAGCAGAATCTCTCCATTACTACCCTTTTGAGTCTAAAACTTAGTGTATGACGCTTTCACACCTGGAAGGCCATGGTGGCATTTGAGCACTGCACAGCGCTCGTTCCAGTCACTGGAAAATAGGGATGGATCGGTTTCTTAGTTTGTACAATACTAGTTATAATTGAGATGGTTGGGGTACCATGCTTACTATTTGTATAAGTGCGGTGAGGCAATAAAAAATGCTCAAAAAGAGTTAAAATATATCGTGTACCCAATTTAGAATGGTCTGACCTCATTGGTGCAAAAATGATAGATACTCAATAGAATCCGTACCTTGTGCTTTGAACATCAGTCTTTTCCCAGGCTAGTCATACATGGCACGGCAAGAACAGCAAGCTACAGCTGCCAGCCACAGGCTTTGAGTATGAACAACTCGTGGTGCTCGAGCACCACTCATGACCTTGCGCATGGCCGGCAGGTGCTGTGCCTCTGAACTCTAACCCTGGCCCAAGCATTCTAAATCTCCATCGTAGGGCTGAGAATAAAGCTCAGGGGCACAAGCGCCTGCCTGGCAAGCGCGAGGTCATGGGTTTGATGCCCAAAATAAGTGCTCAAAAATAAATAAAATCTTTGACCTGAAAGGTTCTGGTGTGGGGGCCCCTGCACCTGTTGTTCCCCTCCGTCTCCTGGCTCTGCTGACAGGCAGGGCCTGAGCAGGTTTGCTGGTTTGTCCTCAACTCCAAGGAATTGACAGGTTTGAATAGAGCAGCCAAGCAACAAAACCGTCAGGTATTCACTGCACAAAACAGCAGACTGCTCCTCAGGTTACCCTACCGTCCTGCAGGTTTGATAGGCCAAGCCACCGTCCCTCACACAGCCACTGAAAACAGCGCCAGCTTGTCCCCTATGGGCCTTGGCTTTTGCTCTGTAACTCGCTGTGTCCTTATGTGGACTCAGGTTGACCTTGGCGGAAATCACCAGTAGCCCAGGAAGCTGACCCTTCTGTGTGTTTGGACACTGGAACCCATGAACAGTTTTTAATCCAGTTAAAACGTTAAGCCCTTCAAGGCTGGAGTTTGACCGATGTTTTAGTGAAAAGCATGGTGAATCTGTTATCTCTATGGTAGCAAGGGCAGCAGATACATAACAAGACAGCTGAATAGATTTAAATTGGAACCACCCGGAACTCGGGGAAGACAGCCCCCCATGCCCCCTGTGTGCACCATCCATGGAGGCCCCCTTGTTCCGTCTGCTGTTGCCTGGTCCTTCACCCCGGCTTTGCTCCAGTTCACTTTTGGAAAGGACCCCACACCTTGTCCGTTGCCTGGAGCACAAAACCCTGCAGATCTCTATGTCCCCACAGTCCCCCATTCTTAGACACTCTAACCCTTATTTTTGCAGAACACAGTTGGGCACGAGTTTATCTTAAATTGTAATAAGTTATGGAAAAGTCATGAAAAATCTGCTTGAAGAATAACTTTTGGATACTGGGGACCTACCCCAGCCCAGCAGTGGCAACCCTGTGGCATGTGTGCCATAGCAATTTATGTCACTGAAAGCTTTTGTTTTTCCCTCTGATACAGAAAGGATAGGTATACATGTAGAGACTCATGCATGGGTAGAACTCCTAAGCAGTTTATGAGAATTATTTATAGAATGCATGATGAATTGAATAGCTACTCTGAAGAAAAACAGACATTTCGGTACACAGCGCTGATTCCATAGTGTCATGCTGTGAAATCCAGCAATTCTATTCTTTGTTCAGAGTGATTTAGTCTGTTTTGTATGGTTTAATTTCTACATACATGAAGGAATGGACAACTATTTTGAAGAGAATGAGAGACACTATGACAGCCATTGTTGACTTCCCTGTTGTCTGGTTTTGAAGACCTACAATGCCTTCATCATCCTGTTGTATGTGAAGACATGGGCAACTATTTGGAAGAAAACAAGCGGCATTATCATAGACAGCGAAGATCTGTTGTCTTGCTTTGAAATCTGTGTCACATTGTTTTCTTCTGATCTGTTTTATTCTGTTTAATTTTACCCTCTTTAAAATAAACTTTAAAAAAATAAAAAATAAAAAGTCCGTCCGTCATCACTGCCCTATCCCTTTTTTATTTGTTTTTGACACAGAACCTAAGTCACAGAGTTGCCCAGACTCGTTTCAAGCCTGCGACTCTCCTGTGTCAGCTCCCACATTGCTGGGGTTATGTGTGTGTGCACCACTACACCTGGCCAAGAATAATTTTTAAACACTGGATCGCTACCAGCGCAGTCAAAACACAGAACTTTCCCAGCAGCAGCTCCTACATCCTGTTCTTAATCATGGCTCCATCTCCCTCCAGAAAGGCGTTTCTGTGCCTTTCCGCATAATCACCTTGTATGGTGCTCAGCAGCTGGGTAAGGGGCTTTGGGCCTAAATCCCTGGGAGTTTGCTCCTTGGGCAGGCTGAAGATGGATTCACTCCTTAAGGAGGCTAAAGAGCTCCCAGGGAAACGCCTGCCCATTCCCTGGAGTGAGGCTTTCAGGCTCAAGATCCATCTCTGCTGCTCACAAGGCCGACCAGGTGAGGAGTGGCCTTTCCTGCACTTCCTGCCTGCAGGAGTAACAGCATTCACCTCTGCGCTGAAAAGAGATCACTTAAGACACAATAAATGCTGTTCGGGTAAAATGCTGGTTACTTTCATATTGCTTCTGTGTAACACAGAAGTAGGGGATGATATATCTAGATGACTATGACAATGTCTAAGTGTGTATTTATGCATGTTTTGACCTCAGTTTCTAATGTGGTAGCCAAAAACGTCCTGAATCTTTTTTTTTTTTTTTTTTTTTTTTTGTCTTTTTCCTTTTTATTGGTACCGGGGATCAGACTCACGACTGCCTGCTTGCAAGGCAGGCACTTATGCTGCTAAGCTAAACCTCCAGCCCCTGAATCTTTTCAATACTGTGCATCTATCTAGCTCGCTAACATTTTCATCATCCTAAAAATAAGCTTTATTCCTGTTACCCATCCCCAACCCTCAGGCCCTCTAAGGTTACACTTAAGCTATTTTCCGTTTCTGTGGATCTGCCTATTCTGGACATGTCACATAAATGGGATCCTGTATCAACTTCTGTGTTTGGCTTCTTTTAGCATATTTTGAAGGTTTGTGTTGCCGAATGTATCATACTGCATTTTTATACACAATACTCTGTCATATGTGTACACCACATTTTACTTAGCGATCCATCCGTTGATATTAGAATAATGCTGCTGTGAACACGGATGTACAAGTTTAACATGAACATATGTTTTCTTTCTCTGGGTATCTACCTAAGAGTGGAATTATGCTGTCATAAGATAATTATATTTAACTTCTTGAGGAGTCAACAGACCGCTTTCCATAATGGCTGCACCGTTTGATATTTCTGCCACCAATGTATGAGGTGCCAGTTCCTCCACCAAAGTGACACGTTTTTGCATTAAAAATAGCTTTTCACTGTTTGCCTCAGCATTGTGCACCCAGTGCTGACAAGCCAGGCACCCTGACCCAGGCAGTGCCTCCTCCTATAGTGAAATCGCAGGTTCCAGAGTTCTAAGGTCCGGGAGCGCCGTGGCAGTATTGGATTGACCCAAGGGCACCTGCTGTGTGTGGGCGGCTCACAACTGGGCTACT